AGCAGTAGTAGTAGTAGCAGCCGTAGCAGTAGTAGTAGTCGTGGTGGTGGTGGTGGTAGTAGTAGTAGTAGTAGTAACAGAAGCAGCAGTAGTAAGTGGTAGTAAATGGTAGCCAATGGTAGTAGTAGTCGTCGTCGTAGTAGTAGTAGTAGTAGGGGCAGGAGCAGGAGCGGGAGCAGCAGGAGCAACAACTGCAGTAGCTTTGTAGAGGGAAGTCGGCAGTACAAGTACAAAGTCACCAAGAGCTCCACCTTCTGCAGCCCCTGCCGGAAAACCCTAAACCATAGTCGTGCTCCGAGGCTACTTCGGAGACGTGTCGGTAGGGATGCCCGTCACGGTTCAAGGCAGCACAGCGGTCGTGGAAGCTGTGACGCTTGGTACCAGTAAGTTCAATGGTTTGGGGGTTTAATTAGGGGAAACGGCGTCCGGCGTACATCGTGTGTCCGGTTCATACACGCTTTGCACATGATTTTCCTTACGATCAGTGCACTCGGTTTGAAAAGCTCGTTGACTTCGGGTGTCGCTGTTTTTTGTAGTTTGTGCGAGGTGTTTGTTGGGGCATATATGTTGGCGTAAGTGACCGCCAGTGCTTCTAAAGTATATCTACAGTCGCAGAGCGCCACCGCAGAGAAAACGTAGCGCAGAGAGGGCAATATGGGACCTTCATGTACCGCATGGGGCTGTTGGTGGTAGCATCTAGCACAGGTGCAATAAGGAACCCTAGGGAATGATTTTGCGAATTCAGGCTTCTCATATTAGGCATCTAGATCGTTCCTGTGGGAGTCAGCCGTGACACCCTACCAGTAAACCCCCCAAACCCACAAAGATGCTCCACTTGCAAACAAGCTCGAACCCTACCCATAGCGTCCTCAGTTTTAATCATTCTTGTGGCTTCCGAGTTCTTTACTTTGGGGTCTTAAACCGTGAACATTTCCCAGCATCTCCAAGAACTGGAGACGAGAGAGTCCTTGTTTGGATCGGGTTTGGTAGCCCCACAAGCCATAAACATCCATAAACCCTACAGCCTATAACCCCACAAGCCCAAAACCCCAAACTTTTCTTTTCGATTTTCCCCTGAACCCCAAAAACCCGAAACCCTAAACCAAACCGTCACATCAAAATCCACGGTCCAAGGCTCCAGAGCTGAGATCCAGGCCCTACCAAGCCCCGACAGAGCGATGCAGTGAGGCTATAACTCTTACGGCCTACGCATGGTTTGGGTTTAGGGCTTTGGGATTAGGAGTCTACAGTTTATGATTCAGGGTTCGGGGTTTAGGTTTAGGGTTTAAGGTTCACGGTTCTGAGATACAGGGATTAGGGATGGAACCGTCTCGGCTGCAAAGCTATTAGCCCCGGGTTTCGGCAGAACTGTGCCCGCGACTGTAGCTACGGCCAGACCCCAGCGTGGATCCCCTTTGTATCTCGCACGTGACAGTCAGTGCGCTCGATGCGATCTGACATTCCTGTGGCGTCATTCAGAGGTACCACCTCTACTTCAACGAGTCAGCCGATGTTGCAGAACGGGCCGGGGTGGAAATCCAGCAAGTCTACGCTGCTGGTGAGTGCGACTACTGGTCAGTTGATGTCTTTGCAGCCGTTTGTGGTGCTGCCGATGACGTTCGTGTTCCGCCTTGGCGGACTGTGAGTGCTGAGGGGGAGGGTGCAGCGAAGACTGCGACCTTGAGAGGCTTCACGGCTACAGTCGATCAAACCGACTGGGGCACTTTGACACAGAGGTCACATGACCCCTGACGTTGGGCCGGTGTGCCTGGACGATTCCTGGGAAACTGCTTGAGAACGCTCCAGTGGTGCAATTGATGAAGCAGTCGTGGCTGAGTCAGGTTGGCCAATAGTTCCGTGAGTGATCAGGAAAGCCTGGGATGGGGTGATTAATGGACAGTGCCCTCAGTTCTCAGCACCTGAGCATATTTGGCGGCATCCGCTTTCATGGCCACTTGAGTGGGCTCCTGTCTTTGCAACTAATTAATTCAGCTGCGTACTCACTTCTGAAAGACTGCAAAGCAAATAAAAAATATATCATATATAATTTAATTTAGTGTAATATGTATATGTGTATATATATATATATGATCTATCTATCTATCTATCTATCTATCTATCTATCTATCTATCTATATATATAATATTGTTTATATGAATGCTGAAGACCTAGCGTGGGGGATCCGGCTGATGTGAAGGACCGAAAGCAGCGTCCGCTTGGACTTCAACCATCCGCTGGCTGGCAAAAACTTGACCATGACCGTCCTCGTGCCTTGGTTTTGAGCAGCGAAAGACTGAGGGGTTTAGGCTTTGGTTCTGGTGTTTACGGGTTTAGGGTTTGAATTTATGGTTGAAAGCCAACGCACGGTTAAGGTCAAAGCTGAGCTGCAGACCCTACTGAGGCAACAGGGTATAGCAGCGAAACGTTAATTTTCCTATGCAGACCCTTCTTAACCCTACTTATGGCTTTCTTAAAAAGGGACCTTATTCAGAGGGTCTATCCCAAGGGTGCCCTTAATCTTAACTCCTAAATTCCTGATCCCGCCACCAGGTTCCAATCCCGAAGGTCAGAGTAAACAAAAAGTTGTCACATCGAGGAGTCTGGGAAGTTGAGACCTGTACCATAAATACACCAGACCCCTGAACAATCATCCGCCCTTCGCCCCACAAGGATTTCAATAGGGATTGTAAAATTAAGGCCCTAAAGCAAGAGGGTGTTTATTCATCAGGGGTCTACAGTACATGTCCGGGCATGTCTGGCTGGTGTAACTTCTCAGAAGCATCTTCTTAGCCATTGGGCACGTAACCGTAAGATACCGCAAGCTTGCTTTTGGGCTAATATCAGACGTTTAGACTGCCTCTTGGGCCAGGAAACTCAGCAACTAGGTCTTGTATGTTCGGTGAAAGTTTGAGGGTCTTATGAAGCTTCTTGAAGGGCTTTTTATCATAGATTAGCGATCAACTTTCTGGGGTTATGCTTATAGTCTCCGTTGTAATTCATATGCCTAGCCATTAACTTGCTTTACCCTGAGAGAACGCCAATGGAGCCTGTAGGTAAAATCTACACCCAGAATCCTACATGACCTACCTGTTTTAGGCTCCTACTTATGATTCCGTCTGGCATATTTATTTTGTATGGTATCCCCCCGACTTATCTACCGGGATGCGTCGCAGCCCGGGCAATGGGCCAATTCGGTCATTTCCACCCAAAAACGGTAGATAACCCAGGGGGGGGGGTAGCATATAAATATATACATATCCTTACCACAATCGGATTCAAGGGTCTAGAGAAATTCAGGTCTTTTGGGGATGCAACTCTTCCAAAGTCTCGGGTCTGCATGCCAAGCACGAACCCCCACGCGAATGCGAAACTGCACAGTTTAGCATAGTATATAATAGGTTGTTCAGTGACACACACTTCTTTGTCGTTTTTTGTATTTGAGTTCCTGCGATAGTAGGCCTTAAGGGTCCACGTATTCATATGGGATATACTTTGGCTTTAAAGTAATTAGTCCCTATGTAGGTGCTCTGGCTCTGGGGCCAAAGTATATGCTATCTGGGCGCATGGACCCTTAGGGAGAGTAGAGTAGAGTATGGTACAAGCCTACACCGGAAACTCAAAGCCCGAGCCCTACATGCTCCAGACCCTAAGCACCTCCCTTAGGCCACAAAATGCAAAACATCAGGGTTGAGGGTTTAGGGGTTTGAGTTTTGTGAATAATAGTAAATCAGCAAACGCCCTACGCAACCCCAAACGGAGGTTCTGGAATGCCGGGAGAGGACGGCTCCGGGCGTGCGCGTCGAAGTGGTTGTGGCCGGGGACGGCATCAGAACACCTCAGGACTCGAATCCGGGCTATAGGTCTCGCAGGAATGTTAGCTGGGTTATGGGGTTAAACGTTGCTAGAAACCCCTAGAAGCCCGTAACTCTAAACTCAAAATCGGAATTTATCGGCATTTATGGGTTTAGGGCTGAAACTTTAGGTCATGGGATCCACACGAGTCTGGTGGAGGTTTGCTTCAATCTCCAATGCAGCTCCCTTGTCTGCAAGCTAAATGACCCAGACTTGAGAAAATGGAGATACATAGCTTCAGGGGTTGTTGGGTTGAGGTCGGCAGCTTGTTGGGGACGAGAGCTTCACGTCACACGCCGAGAAAATGCTGCTATCAATCTGTCATGCTATAGCTGCTAGGGCCTGCATATACATAAGATACAAGCCCAATTGAATAACTGCCAACATTGTTCCTTGGGTTCCTTGATCTAAAAAGGAGCCCAAAAATCTCTTCTAATTCTAAAGGCCCTTGCCTGAAGGTAACAGCCGGGGAGATGTCATCGTAAGTTTAAGGATGCTCAAACCGTCGGTTGTTTGCAGTTGGAGGGTGTGAGGGCTGCAGTCACACAGCCCAAAGCCGTTTAGGCTTCGAGGGCTTTTTCTAGATGACTTTAGGGCTTAGGGTTAATTAGCCATTAGGGTTCAGGGTAGAATTAGATATGGGTTGTCTTCAATGTAAACCCGACAGGTGATTAAGACTACATTGGGTCCATGGGCTTACAGTTTGGATGTACAAGTTCTTGCTTCTCCAGGACGGCGACAAGGTCAGCATTAACTGCGAAGGCAGGCCGGTCCAGGAAGCCTTACCGCCGTAGACCTGCACCCCAAAGCCTTAAATCCTAAACACCCCAGAACCTATGACCCCCAATGCCAGAAAGCCCACACACGCCTGCAGCAAGTGTGAGAGTTGCCGCTGGTTTTTTCCGAGTTTAACCTTACAGCCTACGCCCAATCCTTTTTGAGGATTAACGTGTGAGAAGGGGCCGCCTCACTCAAGCTGGGTATGTGTTACGTGTCAAGATTTTTCTTGACTGCCCAGACGGGTCTGGCCAATGCGTAATCATGTGCTTAAATCGTGGCTTCTTGCACAGATTCCACAATAAGAGCCGCAACCACAATGCCTCCAATACCGTATGGCCGAAAGATTTACGAATGGGTCTGGGGATAAATTCTTCCGATTTAAGTTGTGCATAACAGAGGAAAGTATGTCTGATCGTAACAACTGTTGCCTGAGTCTCCAGCTCACAAGCAGAATCTGGCAACCCCACCGCCGAAAATTCGGAACCATAGTCGTCATGTTATAGCTGGAGGGTCCTATGTTTTGCGAATGCAGCGTTTTTTTGGGCAACGGCTTAAGGCCTACAAGAGTACCCTAGGTGTGCGCAGCCGTGCTTATCGGTTCCAAGGCAACGCCGTCAGCACTTTCCCTTTGCATTCCGCCTGCTGCAATGTTCATGGCTTTCCAAATCCTCTTCGTTTCCATATTGGCTGCGGCCAATGCTATGCGCTCAACGGAGCCTACAATGAGGTGGTGATTCCCAAGGCCTCCGAGCTTCCTAGAGTCTCCATTGTACGTAGTTCCTTTTCTTGGTTTAACCAAGTATATAGTAAGGATTGTATAAAATATCCTCAAAAAGGAACTACAATGGAGACTATAGGTTTTGTTCTAGGGAAGGCATGTCAGGGCTCTTGGGTCAGGCTTTACGCGTGGAGAAAGGAATCGCTACGGACTTTTCTAGCTGCAGATCCCCTGCCGCCATGGCAAAAAACTGAGCTTGTACCCGAAAACTTGCACCCGGCGACTTCAATGTCTACGGCAACAGAGTCGGAGAGCAAGTTGCGTGTGTGGGACAGAGAGGATGAGGAGGGGCTAGACCGGCCCATTGCTGCCCCTACCCATAGTCTCCATTGTAGATCCAGAAAAGCGATGTCATCCGCACTCAGCCTGGGAAATCCCGACCAATGCTAATGTTGTAGGCTCGGCTGTGGGGACTACCTGTAACCCCAAACCCCACAAAATAGTCCTTCAAATTGAGTGGTATCACACACTAATGGGGGCTTATGAGTGGACCCTATACATTCCTGAGATGTATGCTCAACATCCTCAACCCTGCCTTGCTCTGTGACTTGGCCTGCTGGTGCTGTGCTGTTGCTGGGGGAGGGAAACCCTAGCACTAGACCCCAAACCCCCTCCTCCCCTACAAGGAGGCTGAGTCCTCAACTAAGGAGGGTTCAGGATCTAGGGGTTTGGGGATTTACGCGTCCTCAACCAAGGATCCCGCTTCTGAGAAAGACCCCGAGAAACAGAGATGGTTCCACTGCGTGCACTCGCGAAAAGGAGCGCGAGTCGCTCTTTCGTCATGGCCATAGAGGCGTCATAGGATGTGGAGGGGCCTTATATAAATGGAGTGTTTTTGCAATGTGTTCAGGGATCTCAACGCAGACCGCAACATAGCATAAGCACATAAGAAGTACTGTAACGTCAGCCTCCCCATCCCGGAGCTCTAACACTACGTTCTAAATCGGTGCGCCCCAACCATCTGCAGCACGCATGGCAACCGTACGGTTCCAGTTCAGGTCACTGTTTGGGACCCCCGGAGGCCCTTATGTGTATCGATGTGGGGCAGTTCTTTACCTCCCTTATTGTTCAATAAAGAGCCCTGGTCATACATATTTTTGGGGACTGTTGAAATCGACACCTAGTTAAAAGCATCGGAGATGGCAGGAGCCTGATGAGGTTTCCTGAGCCCTAAACCCCTAAACCATGAACCCTTAAACCGTAAACCCTAGATTTCGAGTTTGGGGTGTCCATTTGCAGGGTCGAGAAAGTGGCCCTTGTTGTCGGCTTCATGATTGGGACTGTCGTTTTTTAGGGGCATGTATATGTTTATATCTATGTAAAGCTGTTTGTACATTGTGCGTAGAGGAACGCTTGTATGCAGTTTCAGCAGAAGGAGCAGTCAAATTCGTGATGGCCGCAGAAGGTAAAGCACTTTAACGGTTAGTGGTGATAATGCAAGTAGACACGCTTGTATGTAGTACGATGCGCCTTCAGCATATATTCACATATACACAAGAGGGTGTTCCGTAAATCAATTATCCAGGGGGACCGGATGCTGTGACCGCCAGCTGAAGACATGTCTTACCTTGAGAAGTCTTAAGAAGCTTTCAAAAGCCACGATAAAGAACCTCTACTACAGATCTAGTATAGCACGCGTATGTAACCGTCGATCAAAGCCGAGGTGGAAGGCCATGAATATTCGGTTTGCCAAGCTTTCTGGTTTGGCTTGGGGGTTTAACTCTTGGCGTGTGCTTTCGTGTGCAGGGGTTCAGGAAGTAGGGTGCAAAGCCCAAACGCTTGCAGTTGTTCGGATCCAGTGAATAGACTTCAAACCCCTAAACCGTCACGTGGACCTTATAAAATGGCTTCCCAAACAAGCCCCCATGTAATGTTAAGCTGAAGCGAGGCGCCTTCGCAGAGACAGGCGAGGTCTTCTTCTCCAGCAAGGAGGGGCCCAAAATCCTGCGTTTTTTGCGGTTCCCCCTGTCCAGCACCGACAAAGAACGGCACTCTTGTGTCCGGAGCGAATCTATCCAGTCACTAAGCTGCTTCACTCACCAGGATTATCCGAGTTTCGCGAGACCCAAGCCAATATGCTGAGAGTTGACACTTCGGAGGAGCATGCAGTAATAAAGCAAGCACGCGAACAACTTCCATGACGAGGACTCAGCGGCACCCTTCGTCTTCCGGGTTGGCGCGGGCGAAGCCACCCATTCTTAACTCCCAAACCCATGATTGAAAGGCTCTTGACCGGGCAGCTGTCGGTGGTGTAGCAGACGGTGTGTTGATACCTTTTTGTAGGCAGAGTTTAGCCGAACAAAAATAGGTACATCGTGGGTATCTGGCGGTGAAAACACCGAGGCTTTTAAACCCAAGATCTTTAAACCCCTAACACCCAAATCCAAAAAGGGGTTTGGGCTGGGCTTGGTGCTTAAACCGCTCCTGCAAGTTCCGCAACTGCGAGCATCGAACTTGTCACCCAAGGCGTTGAGTTCTGAATGTGAAGGTTTAGGGCTTATGAGGTTTAGGGTTTAGGATTGGAATGACTCTGTGGGTTCCACAGAGTCAAAGGCATATACCCCAAAGTTCAGACTGACACCACTTGCAACAATAGCAAGAAAGCACAACGCATCACCCCCAACAGACGTTCTTGCACGCATAGAACAAATTGAAAACGGCCGAGTGATGCATAGAAAGCCGAGAATGGTAGCCTTTGCCGATAGTCTCCATTCCCACGGCCGAAATTTTGATTCATGTGGGGAGAAATCGAGCAGGGTCCTAAACCCCTGAACCTCAACCCGAAACCCACACCTGTCTTGTGCGAGTGAGTGTGTGAGTCGAAACCCTAAACCCTAAACCCCTGAACTCTAAAGCATAAACCCTTGAACTCTAAAGCCTAAACCATGCACCCCAATTTAGGGGTTTGTGCTGTTGGGTCGGCAGAGCCGAGGTGATTCCTGGGCTTGAGATGGGAGTCATGAAGATGTCAGCAGCTCTGCAAGCAAGAAGCGGCACAACGTGAACGCCCAAACCCAATGCTTCTAGGGACCATATGATTGGGTCCTTAAAGGCTCTAGGGCCCTAACTATAAGGTCCATGAAAGCATAGGGAAATAATATTCGATGGTATCCCTTGGGTTTCCCATGATAACCCTACTACAATGTATTCCTCAAGCAATTGCTTCAAGTTATTCCTGGGGTTTCCCGGGACAGCTATACTATACAACATCCCCTAAACCCTAAACCCTAACCCCCCCAAAGCCGGTGCTCGTTACTGAGGCCCCTGCATTAGTCGAGGCGCCTAGGGTTAGGGTTAGGGTTTAGGGTTTAGAGTTTATAGGGCTGCTAGGGCTGCTTGCTCCAACTCCGGGCGAAGTGGAAAGCCTGTTGCAAAAGGGTTTATAGGGTTTAGGGTTTAGGGGTTGTAGGGTTTAGGGTTTAGGGTTCAGGGTACCCCTTGAGCTCCTGAGTCGGTTTATAGTATGATATTCCCCAAAGCCAAAGCCAGCCTCTAGCTACTGGGGCCCCTACCGCGATCCTTACATAGATACCCCCAAGACTCGTTTCCAGTTGCAAAAACTCCTAAATCCATGCAGCTCCTTCGAACCCTTGTAGTTCAGAGCATTAAGGCCGCTACTTAGATCCCCTCAGCCCTAAACCCTATATGCCTTACAAACGCCAAACCCTATCAGACCTATAAGCCCTGAACCCTAAACACCAAAAAAGCCGTACAAACCCTAAACCCTATAAGCCCTATAAACCCTAAAAACCCTATAAGCCATATAAGCCCTAAGCCCTCTAAGTTACTATAAGCCCTAAGGCCCCAAACCCTAAGCCGGCCGGTGCTTCGGTTCTTGGGACCCTGCGGCTGACGATCGGGGCTCCCTAAACCCTAAACCCTAAACCCTAAACCTCTAAAAACTTCGAAGTTCTGTTGGGCTTAGGGTCTGCTCTTTTTCAGGAATTAGGGTTTTAGGGTTTGGGGTTTAGGGGTTGGGGTTGCAAAAGGGGTTGGGGTTTAGGGGTGTGAGAAGCCTGCTGCAAAAAAGGGTGTAAAGGTGATTTAGGGTTTGGGGTTTAGGGCTGCTTCGTCTTTAGAGCGGGGGGTGGTGTCATTAGCATGTGGGGCTTCTTGGGAATGCTTATTGCCGGTGCACTTTTTTGGCGTCCGGTGTTTGAGATTTAGGGTAAACCCTAAATCCTAAACCCTAAACCTGGGCGGGTGGGAAAAAAACCCTAAACCTAAACCCTAAATCCTTTAGGGTGCCGCCGAGGTCGGAGAGAAAGCACGGCTTCATATTCCGGCAGATCTGGCCTATGGCCAGAAATCGGATCGTGTGAAGGTGGCAGTTGTGAAGGACTCGGCTGCGACTGTTGGGTTTAGGGTTTAGGGTTTAGGGTTTAGGGTTTAGGGTTGAGGTGGCACACGCAGCTTCGGGTATAAAGTTGAGGCTTGGGCTTTGCGAGGCTTGCAGACGCAGGTTAGAGGACCGTTTGTTAGTTCCAGTGGCCTTCTTACATCTACCGAAACTCTTGCGACTCACGAGGCGGAGGAGGACGGCAGCAACTACTAAAAATCAGTTAGTTACTGCCATATGGGCTAATGTCGAACTGGAGGGTATTGGGGCTCAAGGTGCCCTGTTTCGAAGAGTTAGGAACCGTACAGCCCAAAACCCGACAAACCCTGCACGGAAGGCCTTTGACCCACCAAAAAAGGGGCCTTAATGATTGCCAATACGATTTTGAGGGCTCCTTATTACAATGAAAGTGTAATGGGCTCCGAAACCTTTCTAATTTTTAAGGCTCCTATATTACCCAGCTTGAGGGTCCCGGCCAGGTTTTAGCCGTCAATGTGCTGATCCCCGCAGAAGCAGCACTCCCCTATCTCAGGGATTTTTCAGGGCTCAGTGCATTGCAGGCCCTGCTCAAAAAAGGGTTCAGGGTTTCGGGCCTATCTTCAGTTCGAAGCAACCTTACTCCGGCATGGAACCCCAGTGGCACTCCCCTGATCCTCGTCCTCGATGTGCCAGAAACCAAGGGGCCCCTGAAGCCCCGACCCGAAAGAGTAGAATCCTGCTTGTAAGCACACCGAAGGTCCACTTTCTTGGCGTTTTTGTCTCAGAATGCCATGTGACTCGGTGGAGGGGCTCTTGCCCTACGGGTCCATGTACCCAAATAGTAGATATTTTGGCCTTAAAGTAGTCCCTGCATGGGTACTTTGGGGCCAATGTATATACTATATGAATACATGGACCCTTAGGGTTGACACAAAAATTCGCGAGGACGTCATCTTCGAGGTAGAGCTGCTGGAAATTCAGCAAGAGAGCTCGGGGCCGTGAGCCCCCTGAGCCTTCAAGTGCGCGGATCATGTGGGGAGTTTAGGGCTTGATGTTACGTAGGTTCTTCTCTAAATTTCTCGGTCCCCCCCCCAAAAAAAAATAGTACGCACCTGTACAAAACGGAGCCTAAAGGAAGACCCTTAATTTAGAGAACTACCATGTGAAACACCGGGCCTGTCCCAAAGCCTTGACTCCTTGAGATTATATAAACTCTTGGGTCTTGAAGAGGGCTTAGGTTTCAGAGACACATAACTCAGGGCAAGGTTCTAGGACAGTGATTTCTTTGAATTGCTGGGCGACCGTAGACTCGAAAGGAGCTGACGAGTATCAGGGGTAGCTTCAAATCGCCAGCAGACATTCAGCAGCCAACTTGAACCCTAAACCCTGAACCCTATACCCCAAACCCTACACCCTAAACCCTGGGAACTGCAAGGATGTCCTTCTTCTGGGATCATTCAGCAACGAGCTCCTTCCCTGTCGAAGATGCAGAAAAATGCGAGTGCGTGTCTGTCCGTGTGTTTGTACACGTGTGTGTAGGGTGCCCACCCGGGCTCAGACCAAAATCTGACTCGTTTTTGTCCTGCATTACCCATTATAGGGAATATACCATAATTCCCATAGGTTAAGGTCCTTAAGGTCATGCAGGATTTTGTCCATCAACAGTAGCGATGACTCTTATCTTTTGGTTCTTACCTGCTTGGATTTTCAATCCCTGCACAAAGGAACTGTAGCTTCAAGTCATGAGCTCGGTATCTTCGTGCAAGCAGCCCTAAGAGAAAAAGACCCCTCAATTAAGAGTCATGCGTGGGTAGTTCTCTAAATTACAGCCGCCTCTTCTTACGTCCCCAACATAGTACAGCACCCTTATTATAAAAAGCACCCTGCAAGGGACCCTAATTTAGAGAACTACCCATATGTCCAGTTTCATAATTGATTGTGGGCTATTGGGCTCTCTGTTGCTGCTCTAAAAGAGCAGAATGCAAGAAGGGGCTGATGTCTACCGGCACACTCCAGGTAAGCATTCAGTCGGAGACTTGAACCCCGACGAAAGGCTAAGCCCAGAACCTCGAAACCCGCGCCCTCAAGTAGAAGACCACCATCCCAAACGCCGAATCGGAAGCACCAACAATGCGACCCTGGCTGATGGGTAACTTCAAAAGAGACGGCAGTCATCGTCGTAGAGGTGAAGAGGGTCCAGGTTTGGGTAGTTTGCGACATGTTTCGAAACGAAGCCTTCGACCCAAAACCCAAAGCCCAAATCGCACATGCTCATGACCGAGAATATTTCTCTGCTCTTGGCGTGCAGGCTCGAGGTCTAGAAAAGATAGTTAGCACCCGAACACGGGTTTAGGGTTCAGGGTTTAGGGGAAGACCTGATGCTGAATCCCTGAAATGCAAAACCCCTACCGAAGTCATGCGAGCACTATAGTCACGCCACCAGTTGAGGTCGGGGTTTCGGGTTCAGGGTCTTTTGCATCTACACCCCTAAACCCTAAGCCCAAACCGCGAAGCCCGAACCCTTAGGCTCATCCTCGCACCCCTAGCACGCCGGGCGCCACCTTGGAACCCCAAGCACGAAACCTTTACACTCAAAAGGTCAAGAAATCCACTGCTTCGAGCTGCCATATAGCATTGCATGACAGGAGGGGCAAAGGAAATAGATACAGAAATCCTCCACCCTCGATCCCAGCCTTGTTTCCGTTTCCCGACTGTGGGCCATTGTTTCGACCCGAACGGCAAGAGTCCGGCCGGACTGCCTCAATGAGCAAGTCGGGCGAGGACGGGGTTCAGGCTTGGGAGATACATATCAGTCATGCAAAACCGACGTATAGTAGCAACAGCGTATAACTGTTTGTACGGTTCGGATTGTGGGGGAGTACTGAACCTATCTCGTACTTCGCCTAACCTTTGAACTTTCTGAGTGTCAAGTGTCGGGTTTAGGGCTTCCGTCAGTTGTCATCAACAGCTTTTTCTGCGCGCTCTTGCCTTAAGACGGGGTGAGGGTTGCATGGGCGCTGGCCGGCACCTCAGTCCGTGCTGAAAAGGGCACCAGACAAAAGGGTTTGGTGCCCCGGGAAGCCAGAAACAGTTGTTTTTAAGGCATATAGACTTAAAGTGTATAAGGATTTCGTATCACGACCCCCAGAAAAGGAACGGTTTTGGGAAAGTAGGCGTCGTGCATTTCGAGAATTTTCGGTAGTCGGGTGCATCGGGGTTTTTTGGTTTCAGAGTTTTCGGTACTAAGGGGATTTTGGATGCAGGCGTTAAAACATAGGTTTCAGGTTCTTGAGCGTTGTTGAGGATTTAGGCGATGAGGGCTTGCGGGTGTGGTTTTCAGGGCTTACAGGCTTTGGGGTTTGCCGTTTTGGCACTCTCTGGATGTTAGCTAAAGCCACAGACACGGTTTTGATGGCTGATTGTTCTTAGAAGGACTTCTTGCTTAAGCTTAGCATTGCAAGTGGGGCATAGCCTGCTCTCGCAGGACGACATTTGCCCAATTTGCCTGGAAGATGAGCACCTTGGACGCACTTCCCGCACTTACAGGAAGCTGCCTGCATAGTAACCCTGAGCCCAAAATTTAAATCATAAACCCCAAACTCTAGACCCAACCCTAAACCCAATTAAAATAGCTCGAAATCCCTGAACCCTGAGTTGCCAAACCCCGAAAGCCTGAACCCTCAAGCCCCAAACTCGAACCCTGATTCCCAGACCTTAAGGCATACCCTACGTTGTAAGGGCAGGTTCGCTTGGGTCCTGACCGTTCAGTCAGTTTAGTTGTATTTAAGGTACCTGAATACGAGGTCTTTTTTGCGAAGCCTTGAAAGCGCGGAGGCAAGAACACCCTATACCCTGATTGGGTAGTTCTCTAAATGAGGGTCCTTGTTTAGGTCCCGAATAGTTGAATAGTGTACGGTACCCCTATGAAAGGGACCCTAAAAGTGACCCTGCTTTAGAGAACTACCCAAACCCTAGAAGCCATGAGGCAAGAAATTCAAGGAACCGGGTCGGAAGATAATCCTTAGAGGCCGAAATCACCATATCCTTCCACGCCAACGACCCCCCCCGCGACGAACGCGAAGAATCTCGTGTTTGGCTTGGGGGGCCTTCCGTTTAGGGTTTGGGGATCTATAGTGTTTGGGGTCTGAGCTTCAGGGTTAAGGATGACGATTCTGCAGCAACCCAGGCCCCTCCCCAACGATTGCCTGAAGCCTAATGTAGGAGCCTAAATAATTACTAACAGTATTTTGCAGGGTCCCTATTAAAATCATGGTTCCATGGGCCCCAAAACCCTATTCTAATTCTGAAGGCCCCGAACTTACAGCCACATGAAGCGGCCATCTTTTTTTTGTGCGGCCAGGCCAACACAACCCGTGGTATGCCCGTGTCCAGGATCCTTGTCCTTTGATTGTCGCAGCCGTGCAGTTGTCACGGTTTAGGGTTTAGGGTTTAATTTAGGGTTTAGGATAATTGTTGAGAAGTCTTTTGTTGCATTTGCTGTGCTTTTTATCTGTCCAGTTCATGTGTTTCTGTCGTTTGAGCGGGGAGATGGAATTCATATACCCTAAACCCTCAATTCTTCAGGCATTCGGGCTTCTGTTGCTTAGCCTTTTTGCGAGGTCGGGTCGTCTTTTCACGGGTTGAAGGTTGGTGGTCGTACTGGAATCTTACACTCCTAATCTTGCAGTACGGGAGTTGCAGAAAACACAGGGCTGTAGTCTGTCGCAGATTAGAATCAGTCAAGGTCCTTACTTAAGATTTTTTCAGTCCCTCAGTCCAAGACACCCTACGTGAACATGATCACGATCCTTCCTTGAGGACCAAACGAGCCTGAAAAGTAGGGGCCTTATTCCCATATACTATGAATCCCTATATGGCACATGAACCTTAAACCCTTTTAGGGTTCATTTCGTCCCTGAGGTTGGGGTTTAGGGCTCCAGCGCCTTCGCGTTAGGCAGCAGGGAAGAAGCGGCAGAGATCAAGAGAAGAAGCGAGAGCAATTGTCTAAGGTTTAGGGCTAGGGCGGAGGTAGGTGACCTCAACCCTACACCCCCAAACCCTAAACCGTGGGATAGCGAGGAACCTGGTAATCCTCGGGCAGAACTGTCCACAAAACCCAAACCAGCCTGACAGTCGCACATAGGGGCATTAAACAAAGAGCAGGTGTTCTTGGGCGTGAGCCTATGCTTGGACAGGGCTGTAAAGCGATATGAGCTCAGAGCCTTTATCCCCCAAGCCCCTAATATATGAAACTGATTAACAAATCCTGGGCCTCTAGTTTATTAGGCTTCTTGATGTGAACTCAAATATATTTGGGGTTATAGTGCCAGGGTTTCTTAATCAGATTCCTACATCAACTCTAAACCCCTGAAGCCCTAAACCCAACCCTGGCAGCCTGAAATTGCGAATTCCCCTCCTTTGGGGCCCACCCCAGAGATTTGCGAGGCCCTTTCCACCACACTGGATACCGTGAAGCCAGGGTTGAGGTTTGAGGGTTTGCCGCTTTAGTAGCCTGTCAGGGCCTAGGGTATGCAATTTGAATTTGATTTCGGATTTAGAGACCCCAGAAGAGCGTACGCAAGCCCTAGATCTTGACATCCGGGGCCAAGGATTGCAGACTTGAAAGGTTTTTATACCTTTCGAATTCTTGGAAAAGCCCAGAAAACCCAAGAGTCTCTAATCAATGAGTATATCTCTCGAACCTAATTACGCACCGTCTTTTAAATACTACTGACAGCAGGCTCCTTCATTTGGGGCTTCAGGGCTTGCCTGAAAACCCCCCAAGACCTAAGCCGCAGCTTCCTGAACCCGACCCTAAGCCCAAACCCTGCAAACCCTAAACATTGAACCATAAACCCTGAGAGGACCCCTTAACCCCTAAATCCTGGGAGGATCCCTTTGAGGAGCCCTTAAAAGGAACCCTTGTTAACCCAAAGCCCCAGCATTTCTGAGGCCACCATGTCTTTTGCAACGATTGCCTGGCCGCCTCAAAAGCTCTGAGC